GGACTGGGATTTTAGCTCATGCTGCTCAACCAATTGATCAATATTCCAGTCACGAACATGTGGGTGCAGTTAAAAACTTTTAATTATTGTATGTAATGTTGCATTAATACTACGACAGCAATTTGGAGGCAAATATTGTGCATCACGTAGATTCTGTCAAACTCCCACACCCACTGGGCTGTAAGGTGGCCAAGGATATAGCAGTATAACAAATGGTCGATGCACCAAATCTGTATGGAACCTTTGACCTCTCTCCGCTCGTATGCGTGGATGGTGACCGGGTACTCTGGCTTCCTCCCACATTAAAAAATAAACACCCCTTAAAAAAAAAGAATTGACCAAACATCTCAATGCATGGCAATCCTGAAAATGAGTCTCGAGACTCCGTGAGGATTTACATTTCCGTATATTACCTCTGTTGACACAGCAGCCACAATGACTTTGTATCGAGCATATCATCAAATGCACTTACGGAAATGTTGGCATTGGTTTTACATACTACAATGTACAACCAGTATGCATGTTTAATATAGGAGATCAGAATGCTCCCACTTGCAATGACCTCAACACTATGCGCCGGTTACAACTCTGATAAATACACATATGCAGCAAATTAGTGCACACACTTCACTGTATACATTAGAATACAATATAAACGTCAGTAGGAACTTGGTTGGTAAAGCAACTGGGCTCTCAGTGGCATGATGGTATATTCAAATCCTGATCAAGTATGACTTTGCTAATCATTATCATTCATCTGGTTGTGCGAGAATGAGCGCTACCTGGTAAGTGATAATTCAATCGTGGGTAGACTGTACTCTGGTAAAGGAATGTGGAATGTTCACCAGAGGATGACTAAATAAAAAAGCAAAAGTTTATCATAAAGATGAGCATGGGGAAGCAATCACATCATGTTTAGTCCTGAGCCACTGGTAAGAATTCCAAATTCCCATCGCAGGAGCATGTTAACCCACGTAATAATGACAGATTTCCAACTAAAATTGAACTCAATTTGTTAATCCCCGAGAGACGAGTTGAGCCGACTCCCAAACCAAGAGTTTATCATCTCACAACCTTTCGACCATGCCACCTTGGCCAGACACTGGCTTTGGGGTACTAATATGTATCATCAATATGCACATTGCTCATATGCCAAGTACTATAAATGGTATGAACACATTATGCTAAATACCACATGCCATAATGATTATAATCGAAATTAAAAGTATGCAATTATAGACAATAAGCATTATCTGTATGCAAAGTAGTATATTTATCATAGACTCAGCATAATGCTAGAGGTATGCAAATAACCTTTCATGACATTCACTGGGGCAATGTAGCTCCCCTGCCAAGCACTCGGATAATATAAACGTGTACGGGACAGGCACACGATGCCTAGCTGAAAACGTGCAAAAAATGCTGTGACACTGCATTGTAAACTTTAGCTGGGGCACAGCTTTATCTGTTAAAAGTTATAAGAAGAGCCGACGACGTAGAGCTTTTGTAGTGAACTGTGAACCCAGTGCTGACAATTACACGTCACCACGGTATAACAGTGTACACGTGTGTTAGCTTGGGCAATGTTGAAAAAACGATAGATCTTCCCCAGCCCGTTATCTTCCTGGGGGTCAAAAATAAGAGTGCCATACCACTTTTTGTGGAAGTCAACAGTGCTACCCTATAGATAGTCTCACCACGTTATCAGAACGTGGAATTTACACCACTGGCACAGGGCTGTACACCATGAGATGAGCACTGGGTAAATGCTCATTTGAGCAAGAAATCATTATTTTCACATTTGACGTCGGATAAGTTGAGTTGTCAACGTTTCAAGAGAAGTAATGAATCTCCACAGGACATCAGATCGCTGAAATAAAGCTTGCGAGAGCCTAATACTTGAACAGGACATGGCAGCAGCAGCAGCAGCAACAACCACCCTCTGACACGCCAATCGCGTGGGTCCTTGCTGGCACAATTCCCCAAGAGGGGCTCCCCTACCCTCCTTCAAATCTCCACGGCAGCTGTCAATCTGCTGCAGCTAAACAGCTGGTCATCCCATTGGCTACTTGCACCCATTCGGCACCCCAGAAGGGAGAATCTGGTGGTCAGCCATAGAGAAGACAACACAGCCAAATACACCAGGTGCCCTAGCAGAGCCAACACAGTGCACAAGGTCAGCCATAGAAGTCATCACACATGATTCCAAAAATGCAGTGGTTGGCACTCAATTGTGCAGGTAAAAGGTGCACACCTACAGCTAAGAACTCACGCCACTACTAGCAGAAAGGCCTCCACTTTCTAGGTCTCTAGAGAGACATAGAGAGTGCCTCTGTACAGCAAGGCCGTAATTATAATATATTGGGGGGGGGGGACATATCCCCCCCAACATTAAAATATGCTCAAAATGTCCCCTCCAATATATTGCTATAAAATAGATTTCTGTTTATATGATTGTGGTTATGGTTGTACTTTATTAATCCCTAATCTCTACCATTACATACAATGAAACAAACAGGGCAATGTAATGCAATACACTATTAGACATTAAAGAATAAATAAAAAGTCCATCCCATGTGTTAGTAATTTTTTTATATTTTAGGCAGGAAATTCGTTTTCAAATTTAGATTTTTTTCTGGGGTGGGGACCCCCAGACCCCCTGGAAGATTTGGTCCCCCCCAATGTTTACTCCAATGGCTACGGCCTTGCTGTACAGTGTAGGGTATTTGGTCTACTCTTCCACACTGGCCATACGTCTTTGAATAAGTGGGAGTACTTAGTTTACTTCACAAAACGCCGCGGCGGGAGATCTATATAATCAACACAAACTCTGGATAGCAAGTCCAATGTGCCAATCATTACGCAGAATTGTACAGATAGACAAGCCGAATCTTGCTTCGTCCTGAGTAGTCTTTGGTTAAATCCCTAAACACATACATTTGTCCGTCAGCTCAGATAATTCATATTTAGGTTATATTGATAACAAAACAATTGCATGGTTGTATTCAACCACACATACTTTCCCAGGTATATCTTGCAAAAGAGGAAATGACTTAATGGATTTTTCCTTGGCCAATGGCATTATTAATAAACAATGCACAGATGTATACACCACACTACACGCAACATTTAACCCATTATATTTTGTTTCCAGTATTCTACAATGCATGTTGAATTTCCTTCGCACCGTACGTAGTAACCAACCGTGCTAAATACAGTACAGCATTGTAATCACATTGCAAACAAACCTCCACTATAATACATACATACTGGCAATTAGGCGTTTGCTAAGCCCCTAATGGACTGTCGAATTTCAAGTCACCGTTAACATACATTCTGACTCTCAAATTAAATGCTAAACTGGGGTGTTCATTTGAAGAACCTACACGGACGGTGCCGAGAGCGGGATTGTAACCTCCTGCGGGTGCATGCGTTACCGATTGGGGGGCCATTGCGTGCGTTACCTATTGGGGGGGCATTGAGTTCGTTACCTACTGGGGGGCCATTGAGTTCGTTACCTACTGGGGGGCCATTGAGTTTGTTACCTACTGGGGGGCCATTGCGTGCGTTACCTACTGGGGGGCCATTGAGTTCGCTACCTACTGGGGGGCCATTGCGTGCGTTACCTACTGGGGGGTCATTGAGTTCGTTACCTACTGGGGCCATTGAGTTCGTTACCTACTGGGGGGCCATTGCGTGCGTTACCTACTGGGGGGCCATTGAGTGCGTTACCTACTGGGGGGCCATTGAGTTCGTTACCTACTGGGGGGCCAATGAGTGCGTTACCTACTGGGGGGCCATTGCGTGCGTTACCTACTGGGGGGCCATTGCGTGCGTTACCTACTGGGGGGCCATTGAGTTCGTTACCTACTGGGGGGCATTGAGTTCGTTACCTACTGGGGGGCCATTGAGTTCGTTACCTACTGGGGGGGGCATTGAGTTCGCTACCTACTGGGGGGCCATTGAGTTCGTTACCTACTGGGGGGCCATTGAGTTCGTTACCTACTGGGGGGCCATTGAGTTCGTTACCTACTGGGGGGCCATTGAGTTCGTTACCTACTGGGGGGCCATTGAGTTCGTTACCTACTGGGGGGCCATTGCGTGCGTTACCTACTGGGGGGCCATTGAGTTCGTTACCTACTGGGGGGCCATTGAGTTTGTTACCTACTGGGGGGCCATTGAGTTCGCTACCTACTGGGGGGCAATTGAGTTCGTTACCTAATGGGGGGGGCATTCAGTTCGTTACCTACTGGGGGGCCATTGAGTTCGCTACCTACTGGGCCATTGTTCGCCTGCACGGCCACCACCACCACCACCCCGCCCGACCCCCCTCCCGCCGTCCCCAGGACACGCCTAAGCAGCAGATGATGTTGTACATTGCTAGACGTTACAGCAACTTTGTAGCAATATTGTAACCAATGTGTTTTTAAAAAAATACACATCCTACGGAATTCCTTTACTAAAGTTAGGCACATTTGTTACAGAGTGCAGTTGCTCGGTTTATACATGTTTCGGCTTCGCGTGCGTTGCAACGTTATTTCTCCAGATCCTCAAAGATAATCCGGCTATTAACGTTAATACAATACATATATTTCTTTTTAAAAATATTAACTATAAATGAGCGGTTCAACGCGGTTTTTTTTAAGTTGTACTGCAGCAGTGGTGTTGAAAGCTCATTGGTTAAGTCACGATTATTGAAGGCCGTTGAGTTTCAAGCAAATGCCTCGGGTTTTTTTTTCCGCCCTAATCTGCAAGGATGATTGTTCAATCCTCCAAAAGGCTCCAGACGAGTTTAAACATTCCCAGGAATCTGCCAACACGGCGAGTACTTAAAAAAAGAAATGTTAATTCAAGAAAGCTACAAAGTTACGCTTTTGTAATTAACAACCACACCAGGCGCACATCGTTAATAGACAACAGCAAGGAAGCACGCTAAAAACTTAGCGCCAACAGGGCAACACACACACACATTGATCACACACATTGCAATAAAGACTTACCTCTCAATTACCTCCTTTCTCTACACCGCCTTGTCGCCGTAGAATCCCACTCTTTGTCTTAAGTCGAAGAAGCGGTGATGTTGGTGGTGGTGATGATGTTGAGGATCGGGTATGTGTGGTGGTGGTGATGGGGGGAGGGAGGGAACGAGAGAAATGGCCCGTGGATGAGACGGCGTGCGAATAGAGCCCAGTGGGTGTGTGTGTGTGGCTTGGGGAGGAGGAGTTTGAGATGTCTACGAGTACGGAGGAGGGATTGTCGAGAGAGGAGGGATTGTCGAGAGAGGAGGGATTGTCGAGAGAGGAGGGATTGGTTTGCAAGGTTTTGGCGAACCACCTCCCTCCACATCCCTCCATCATCATCACGCACGCCCACTGATTGCATCGCCCTGAAACTCTTAAAGCAGCGCTCCCCTTCCCTTTTTTTTCACGTCTCTAGTTGTGAGTCATGCCTCGCAGGCCGTGAAAAAATAAAATACACGGTCCCGCCAATCACATTTAATCTGCAACTTAAATACGGTACTTCTTGCATGGGTTTAGGTTAATGAACGTGTAACGTTCACGAGGGAGGGGAGGGAAAAAAACCCCGCACAATTGCAGTGAAGATGAATGACAAAATCCTACTGCAGGGAAAAAAAAAACTTACAGTTCACGAAGTTTGTGTCATAAAAATGAATACTACAGGAAATGTTGTGAATGTATGTTTCTTTTAGTTAATCCTTACACACATGTTGCCCTTTCTTTCTGTTTCAGGCGAGCTATAGATGTGAACAGCGGTCTTCCTATGAAAATAAGAGACCCCGGCCATCGTAATGTGGAATTTCCACCACTTGCTCAGAGCTAATGTAGAACTAGTGTGCTTAATTGTTCAAAACTTGCTATTATGCCTACTGGGTAACCGGGTGCTCACCCAGCTAGGTTTACATGTAAGGCTTAATTTCTCATTGGCTGGGAGCAGGAATTGTCAGCGTAAGGCACTACCACTAGAATACCTGCAAGCATTTTGAGGACAAAAATAAAGCGATATGGATGTGAAATACTAAAATAATTCCCACAACAGAGCTTTAGACTGTTCTGCCTGAAATTAAACACTGATTAATTATATGAACTGAACATGTGGGATCTTATCTTAAGGGCCAAAGATACTGGAGATACTTTATGTACGAAAAACATTTTGTTCAAAAAACAAACCTAGCAAAAACAAGTAATCCAAAGGTTTAAGCAGATAAACCGTAGAACATACCGCACAAAATCGTTTTAAAGTTGAAACTATCTTGGAGTTGAAAAAGTTGAAACTATCTTGGATTTTTTGTAACGTTTCGATTCAATATAAATAATATATAGCGCTTTCAAAAGTCTGTATTGGTTGCGTACATCATCAGCCTCTGAAACATTCACATTCCAGGACTGCAAATGCGTTATCATGAAACGCGTCGGTTAAAATTCTTTCGATGTAGTCATCACCAAATGACCAAGCTTTGCACTCGGCACAGACGTAGACATGCATGACGTACTGGTGCGGTTTGAGGCGCAGCGTGGCTAAATCCAGCCTTAAGAATGCGCTCATTTAAAGCCACGCCCACACGCGAGACAGGAAAAAAGCCGAAGCGCCAATGTGCAAACGGGTGACATCAGCTGTTTGAGAACGCAAGCCATATAAGGGCATGCTGAGGTAGGGGGGGCGTGGTCACGGGAGAGCAGGGTTTATCACAGGCCGATGTCATTGCCACACCTTGCAGGTAACATCGGTGCATAGCTTTGTCGATTTCTTCAGTTTAGTCGCTTAGCCGACATCTGCTTTCTTCCTTACTGCTAAAACCCTGTTTGACCTCATTTCTGCCAGTCTCGTTAATGTCACATTACAAAGGAATCGTTCAACACCATAACGCTTGAGCATATTCTGCGCGAACAGGTTTCACATTTCTGAGTACTGTACTTGTATTTGGCTGCTATAAATGTCCACGTGATAAGCCACTTCGTTGAGCTATCATGTGACCAGGTCGCTTCTGAAAAAGAGCAATATCGCTCAGTGGGCCTTACCTGGTAAAATAAACATAGTTTAAAAGACTGAACTATTGCCTAATCTTTCTCCAATACTAAGGGTTTTAATGCACTCTCTGGGAGTGGCAGGCTAGAAAGAGTACTACTGTGCTTTAAAAATGCCAATAAACCCTATTCACTCAGGGGTTTCACTGAATCTTAATATGGATTTTCAATTTGATTCTTTGGTTGATACCGTTTTTTTAGAATTCTTACATGTGACCAGAAACTAGAGCAACCAGCAAAATATCATATTAGAAATGTAGCGACATTGTTGAGCGCAAAGAACGCTCATTGTCAGCAATACTTGTTGTACTGCCCTCTAAAGGTATCTTGGTGCACTACATGTGGGTGACAGCCACCAAAGAATGTAAGATGTGGCAGATGTGGAGTCGGTATTAACAAGCTGTCTTTTATCAATACCACAATGCATTGTGCCAAACTTAGCAAATGTTTGCCCAATCCATTGACTTTTGATGTGTTGAAAAAACGCACTGAAACGCCCACACGTGAAAGGCGCTTTATAACTTTTTTTGTAATTACTCATCATTTTTAGCACTTTTCAGGCACCTGCCTAGTTATAAAGGTCATCGTATAAAGTAGTACAGCAAGTAGGTTTCTAACAAGTTGTGTAATGGAGTTCAGTGCTCTATCATAAGAGAATCAAATGGGGCGCACAAAGTATATGCTATTTTATATCTATATGCTTTGGGCGCTTAGCATTATTACATGGAAACAAATTACACAACATGCCAAAGCAAGATGCTATTGAAAATGAGACTCGAGACTATAACACGATACCTAGATGCCTTGTTCAAGCATGGTGGTGTATGCTTGTAAAACAGCAGAGACAGGGCTGCAAGTGGGGTAGGTAGGCATATAGCAGTAGGTTTATGAACTAATTTGTGTGGACCTTTTGAGTTATTCCCCTCGTATGATTGAGTTTACACGAGGCACTTCAATATCCTCCCACACACAAAACCAAAGATGCCAATTCAGAACACTCGAAAAATCTTAATAGCAGACTGTACACTACCCATATACATCCAAACCAATACAATCAGACGGATAAACAACAGCTGAGGTTTCCTTATTAAATATCAATTTTATTGTACTTATTTTGTAATACACTGACATTGAATTGTACTGTTAATGCACGTACAAAAATGTTTTATTCATTCAACACATATGAACTTCATACGGGGGACAGTAGCCCTCATCACCTGTAACCTCCACGAACCACAAACTGTGTCATTGCAGGCTCCTCCACACCTGCATACAGAGAGATGAGCAAATAAATAAGAGATGGAAATGCATTAAAGAACGACAATGCCATATTTAAGGATGCAAATCTACAATTTACAAGATGATTTTTTGATAATTGTTTTTTTACCCTTTTATCTGGCAACAAAACTGACACCTTTTTTACAAGGAGTCATGTTTACATTGACCACAATACCTGCGGTCGGAATGCAAACAAAAAACAACAACTCTGATAATGTATGCAGTCCTTGAAATTGATTGGTCCACACCCGAGACAGCTTTATACATTATCAGAGTTGTTGTTTTTTGTTTGCGTTCCGACCGCAGGTATTGTGGTCAATGTAAACATGACTCCTTGTAAAAAAAAAGGTGTCAGTTTTGTTGCCAGATAAAAGGGTAAAAAAAAACAATTATCATATTTTGTTACTGGCAAATGAGGTTTCCAATGGTGTAAGATGATTTTTTGTTTATATTCTTTATCACATATATACTAATTTCTGTGATGTTCATGCATGCTGCTTAGGCTGTCTTGTCCCTGTTCTTGACACAAATATGTTTTAGTTAACATTGTACAAAAGTATACTCTATATGTTGTAGATTTCATTTTTTTTTGTATGGCATGTCATTGCATGCTTTCCATGTATCAATTGAAACCCTATACACTCAAGACAAGTTTCATCTCAAGGGATTATTCATGTTAAATGTTTACAAAAAAAACAACTTAAGTATGGCACATTTAACATTTAAATGCTTGATAGTAAAGGGGTTGTCTATCACAACACCTGGTACCCAAGTTCATCTGGCATTGGCAATGTTGTAGCCTGTATTGTTATCGTTTTATCTAATTTTTAAACCATTCAGATGCACAGTACGTAACCAACCGTGCTAATCAGTGTATTTTATGATTGCATACACATGGATGATCGTGACAATGACCGATGTAAATTCTAATGATGTTCTAGAAGGGCAAATAAAATGCAATTTACCACAGATATAGTTGGTTATAACTGAAAAAACCCCAACATTTTCCTATACAGTATATATGTCATTTGAGCAGCTCTGGCCCCTACCTATTGCAGTTTGTCTCAAAAATACCCTCACCTGTGTCCCCAGCAGTAGCTATTTTTTGTGGGACTCGGCTTGGAGAGGGAGACCTTTGCAAACCCCTTGAGCCTCCTGGCATGGGCACAGCTTGTGATGCATTGACCCCTGCCCCCCGTGACATAAAATGAGCCAACATGCCATACAGCAGGGGGCTGTAATAAAAACACACATACACACACACATACCAAAAGTCACCACCACAACCAGTACTAACACTATAACCAACTTAATATCATGTTGATATATTATGCTAATGATGTTGGCAAGCTGTAAACAAAAAACATACATTTACAAGTTGATAAACTTTTCAAAGTCAAAGTGTCTTCATGTTCACAAAAGCTAGGATGATGTGCTCATCTCCACTGATTACCCAGGAATAGTAGTGGAAATTTCTATGGTGGCGGCCAGTGATTCCATAAAAGAACAAGTGCTGACTTTCAACAAAATTGAAATATTTTAGGAAATGAACCTACAACAAGATTTGAACCTGGAAGCTTCCATCGAGTCAAGTCCTTTGGAACAGTGCCACTCACCTGGATAAAAAAAAACAAGTTTATGTTCCTAGAAATACAGTTCAAGTTTTTTGCTGAAAGGCCATGCATGGAGGTATTAGAAGATACAATAAATGGGGATCAACATACACCAACCTAAATACAAGCAGAAAAAAAAAAACATTGTATTAATAGTCTTTTATACTCATGCATTGCAATTCATGCCCATATTAATCAATACAGTATCATGTTTCAATTTAGATGAGAATCCATTAAGTGTTGCTTGTACAAAGAAGACCTGAGATAATGAAAGGAAATACGGATGCAAAGATCTATGTGCATAATTGTTTCACAAATCAAAAACCTTTAATGATTTTGATTTAAAGCTTTCGTGACTGCAGGGATTCATATTCTTGGTTCTTTCGGTAAAGTCAAAATTTGAAAAAAGTTTTTCAAACTTTCTTGCTGTGGTTTTCACACCTGATGATTGCTTGTGTTGCAGTCGAAACGTCGTGAGAATTTTGTTTTATATTTTTTTATATATATAACCTTTAATGACAAAATATTGAAGAGTACATGAGTTATTAGTCATGCTGTAACTATTTAAAACAATAAAAAATGTAGAATTAAAAATTATGAACATCATAGAAGAGACTGCTAGGACTCTAATTAACATAAAAAAATATACGAGTGAATAAATAACAATTTTAGCAGTTATTTGAAAAAATAAGTAACATAGCATGTATGTTATTTCGTAATGTCTCAATATATTTCAACCACTTATATGGAATAATGATTGTATTGACAATTTTAAATGATTAGTGCATTGGGTAAGAATAAAATAGCATTATCGTAAATTCAGACAAGTCTTGTGCTAACCACAAACGGTATTGGATCGCCCCCTAGTGGATATGAATGTTCATGATTAGGTGCTCGTGGATAATTCCAGTTTGGGGCCATCCATTTAGTAGGTCCGCGAAAATCTGTCAAAACTTGACCCCTCCCCGTACGCACGCGTACTTTTTACACCCCCTCTACCTGCGTACGTACGCTTGACGCACCCCCTCCCCCCGAATCCTATAGAACGGCCGATATTTAATCCACGCAGAAACGATCAAGGATTAATAATATTTATGTGTTTAAGCAAAAGATAGTCCACCGCCGGACTATCTAATTTGAAGGCCAATGTAGACAAATTATGATCGAGGCTTCACCACCCCCCCCCCCCCATTTCCTATGCGTACGTACATTGTCAAACGCAAGCGTACGCATTTGGGTTAACCCCCCTCCATGCATACGTACTAAATGGACGACTCTGAGCCCAATAAGGGGTATCAGCAAACTGGGAAATCCAGTGCCTGATTTAGACGTGAACATTAATTCAGAATCTCTGAATTGTTGTGGTCTAACACGTGCCTTTGTATTCCTTGAGCCATACAAATGCCATTGTCCGTTGATTGTATTTATTGTTAGAACAAGGATGGAAATGGAAAGATAAAACTCAAATATAAAATCTGAGCTGTTATGAAATGGTGATGTGGGTGGAAGGTAGGGGGCACAGATTCATGGGTAAAAAGCAAAGGTTAGGGAAAAGAGGCAGAGGGTTGAGGGCTTACACAGAGCGTGCAGATGGCTCCTCCAGCACATGCAGCTCCCGTGCAAGAAAGTCACGTTCCAGTCTTGTATCTGGCTGTCCTGCCTCTGCAGACAAAAACATGAATAAACTGAAGCAGAGCTGCATTGTCTCAAGCAAAAATTAACACTGCCTGAACATTTTTGAGCAGGAAGACACTTTTGACTCGAAGAAACTTGCACACAAACAGCCACAGATATATAGAGATGGGAAGACACATAGTTCATTTATTTGGTATAGCCCTGTGAGCCATTCGGCTCTTGAATCGGGTGCAACCGCAACAAACAAAAAAAACATACTATAAGTATGTAAACATACAAACAAACAAAACACGGATACAAGCGTAGTGTAATAGTGCTGGCTGGTGGACAGCAGCAACTGTGGTGAACAGACAGTACACACGCCGGTGAGGGTGTGTACGGTGTGTGGGCAGAGGGGTTCGAGAATGGAGGCGTGGTCAGGGCGGAGCCAGGCTGTGCTGGTAGCATAAAAGGAGTCGAGAGCGGGGAGCTCGAGGCTGCCGGTTCTGGGAATGGACTCGTCTCGTCATCGCTGTCATCTGGTCGCCGTCGTCGCTAAACGTCTTCGCTACATATTGCGCTACGAAGGATAGTAGTTGGCCGTCAGTGTTAGACGGCTAGTGTAATGTATAGGCTAGGCTTAGCTACTGTGGAGAGTGTGCAGACGACACCGTGAAAGTTGTTAATAAAGAAAGTGCCTCCGAGAAACTCTCTCTGAATCGTTGACACTACACAAGTATTAGCACATCTCTGAGACCAGATAACGACTGTCACAGCTGTGGGATTTAGCAGAGAAAACAACAGTTTTTTGGTGGCAACAACAGTATTGCTATGTTGAACTAAAATCAATGACCTCTTAAAATAATCGATACATTTAACAAAAATAATTTTGGGTAGTTTTCAGGCAACAATTGGACAAGGCAATATATTAATCACTGGAGGGCAGCCCATTCCACTACTCTATCATGGACATTATAAACTATCACTGAAATTGTTTGAGTGGTCTAGGAAGAATTCTCTGGAGAAACCTGCCTGCACACAAAGATACGTACATACAGATTTTCCATGTACAGATTATTGTATTGGATAGCTGTTGTCCAGTGCATAGTTTGGACCAGTGGAGGTACATAGTTAATTTGTGTGAAACAGGGTTCAATTCCTATTCAGCCAAACCAAGCATCTGCAATCTACCGGTCGATAATTCGATCTCCCGGTTCGGCAATTGATACAATGAGCCAGGTTCTTAAATGACCACGCCCCTGTCCACTCAGCAGTATACATGGGTACACCGTTTGTGGATAGCCAGATCGTGCGCGGTGGGGTAAAGTGTGTGTACTCCCACCTCTTCCAAGATCTCATGGAATTTAAGGCCAAACTACCCTCTATAGTGGTCTCTAGAGCTCCCTCTAGGCCCTTCCGTGTGAGCTAGAAATTGCAGGGATTCACCTTTACATTTATTTTTTTACAAATTTTAATTGCAATGCACTATAATCGTGTAAAGCGACAGCGTTACCGGTGACGAGCACTCCGGCCGTGTAGTTGTACTGGTTGTAGCTCAGATACTCATGGATGAGCTCGTTGAGCAGGAGGTTCTCATGCGGCAGCGGTGGTCGCGCAGTCTCAGGCTCCGCGAGGCTCGTGAACACCTCCGCGCGCAAGCGGGCCCTGGTCGCGGCCAGCACGCCCCGCCGCTCCAGAGATTCTCGCACCGCTGGTAGCGCAAATACAATGGGTCAAAATCTGGGCTACAGTCATAATCATCGTCAGCCATGACCAACTCACTGCTGGACTGATCACATAGCACCAGCACGTGCGTTAATTGAATAGCTCCACCTCGTTCTGACGTGTTCCACACCTTGGCTGACAATCCGTAATTGTTTTTGACCTTGGGTTCATCCTTTTGAGCAACATGTCTTGACCAAGCAACATTTTCTTTGCAATTTTAAGTTTTTTAAAACATCTTCCCCATTGTAAATCCACTGCTGTCTGGACTCCCTACATAATACACGCTGGGCAGACTGGGTTGGTTAAGGGGTAGGGGGACCTGGGTCTAGTTCAAATACTGTAACACACATCGAGCTCAGGTAGCTGGGTTCGTAGCGTGGTGGGAAGCACACACTCCACGTCCACCATCGCTTCACTTGCCAATACTGTGCGTTCATATTATTTCGCTACTTGCCTATTCTACGACTATCAATTTGCGAAATTGAAGTGCTCTACTACTGCATATGTTTACACAAGTTTCGATGTATGTATAAACGATTACGTAGGGTGGCCTGTGACTTGTGTGGCACGGACATCACCGTACAAAGCAATCCCTTTATACGCATACATGGGTAGAGAAGCGTGGCCAGGTGTATGCTTGAGACACTGACAATTTCATAGACAAAAACACATGGACTGGAGGGCGTACGAATGTTAAGCACATCGTAATTGCATGTATAGTAAAGTGGGCTTGGACAGGACACGTCACAATGGATGGCCGAGACTAAATCAAACTCGCAGCCAAAGGAGAGAACGCGTCCCAGTGGACGTCCAGAGCAGAGATGGGAGGCAGTGACAGCGACAGGACTTCAACCAGCAGCGGATTTGACGATACCCGATTATTATGAAAAATAACAGCAGTTAGATCGCGTCAATGTTGCCGTTAAACCCACCACCACCCGACAGACAATAAGTAAGGTTTGTCACGTAAACAGAACACGGCAATTCATGAGTAGTTACAGCAGCACACCAGTGCGTTGGAGAGTACACCCGCAACATTTACAATCCGAGTACGACGTTTCGCCGCTAATTATAACGGCCATCATCAGGCGACATCCACATGCGTGTACTGTACAGTGTACAATCAACACGAGCGGTGGGAAAGATGGCGTCAAGTTGCCGGGCTAACCGAGCGAAGCGACGCCGCCTCTTTAGCTCTCGCCCCAACGCGTCGCGAGCCAACTGCGCGGTCCCGCGCCCTTTGTCGACAGCACGATTAAAGCAACCGAGTGGTCTGGTGTTGGGGGGTGTCCGCGCAAAGCACAAAAAAAAACACCCCTTCCAGACAAAACTGCGTTACCGCTCCTCAACTCCTCCACGGTCGCCATTTGAAAGACGAAAGTCGCGCCGCCCGGGGTCGAAGGTCGCGCGTGACGTCCCGAGGAGGCGGGGTAACGGGTCGCCGGACGTGACGTCGCGGTGTATGCTAATGAGGAAAAGGGGGAGGGGGAAGGCAAAAGTCTCGAGTTGTAAGGCGCGTGGTCGGCTTTGGCGAGCCTTATTGCCTGGAAGAAAGTTATTGTTTGTTGTTGCTGTTGATTTAGCGTTAAAATCGCGTAAATGTACATGTGTCGTTTAACACGCCGCCTCACCCGATACGGCCAATTAGAAAGGATTGTCACGTAAACGTACCAGTCAACCCCTTATCAGTTGCCTACCTTATTGCAGACCAATTCAGACCTTATTGGTCACCCCGTGCCCCTTATAAATCTCAACGTGCATCCTACAAAGTCCCAATCACAATGGAGAAACAAATACAAATAGACAAAACACAATTGTTTTTTTTACCGCATTGAAACGGCCTTACGCCGTATGGACCTGCAAAGTCAATTTCCCTAGACATGAATAGGGGGTAAACCTTACGGGTTGACAGGTATACGTAAACAAAATGTTCCAATTAGTTACTACTACTACAGCACACCGGTGTGTTGGAGAGTAAACCCACATTTACAAAATGACATGATCTGATGCTGCATTGGTAGTGGTGCACAAGCACAACGCACTACCACATGGAAACAATAGGCGACGTTACAGGCAATGGCCCTTAATCGACAAGAGGGACCAGAGTGGATAATAAGAGCTAGAGATGACTTTTTTTTTACATTTTATGATGGCCAGTTGTTAAATTGGCATTGGTAGTTATATAATAGCATTGCTACTAAGTAACAAATCAATAACAATAAAGCTATTAAAAACAATACGCCACCTTCCCACATCTGTTACTCATAAGAAAAAAGTCACATTTTTGATATTCCAGACGGGACGCGAATTGACGGTTTATTGTTACTTATAGTATTCACGACGACGCTAACGTTTCGCATAATGTATGTTTATTTATTTGGTGTGCTCATGCGCATGTCCAGTGTAACATGCCAATGAGAAAATGAGTAGGTACAGTAAAGGTTAGGTTCTGTAACGTCTTCATTTGGCAGTGGCCTGAAAAAATATTGATTGAGAAATTAAATGGACTGCAGCACCCATCTCAATTTCATGGTTGAAACCTTGAAAAAAAGGTTTTAACAACTGACTAAATATATTTTACATGTTAAGACTGTAAATTCAAGGCGTTACCCGATGGTTCAGAGGTCAGACGCTGAGCTGGCACTGATGAATTCGAATCCAGGCAAGCACTCCACGATTAAACTGAGCTCTCAAATGTCGTGATTTGATGGTTTCAGCCCAGTCACCAATGACTGCACGACAAAACCCTATCACATTAAATGGGGCAATTTATTTAATTTGGCGTTATTTTACTTCTGAGGGTTAAAATATTGATTTAACCGTCTTTGTGGTAGGGTGTGTGGTAAAGTGCTGCCCTCTCCTGCTCGAACCAAGGCACTTGAAGGGATCTCGGGCAGCTTTGTGAAACCTGCTTCCGTGGACTCGTCTATGGCGTTTTGAACATATATAAAAGAATCAAACAGCAACAAATATCATGCTATGTTCTTCACTCCCACGAATGGTTGCGAGATATTCGAATGACGCCAATAGCACATTTGTGATACAACTTTGATAAATGGCAAGAACAAAAATCGAATAGATGGACAGATAGACGGACAGAACGTATAGTTTACATTATTTCAACCTTGGTGTGTCTGGTAAGTGGTATCAGATGAGTGGTGAGTGTCAGGTGATGAGCAGTGATTGTGAATGATGTAAGGTGATTGGTGAGTGTCAGGAGAGTCGTACGTATCATATGTGGGTTTTGAGTGTCTGTTGATTAAGTGTTAGGTTATGTTAGGCGGGTAGGGAGTGTCATGTTAGTATGTATTCGGCGAGTGATAAGTGTGTGAAGTGCAAGTGAGTCGTGGTATCTGATGAATGTTTGGTGACTGGTGAGTGTCAAATGAGTGCTGTATATGAGTGGTATCAGGAAAGTGGTGTTTGGGGAGTGGAGATTGTCTAGTGATGATATTGTGAATACAAGTGACTGGTGATACAGTGAGGGAAAAAAGTATTTGATCCCCTGCTGATTTTGTACGTTTGCCCACTGACAAAGAAATGATCAGTCTATAATTTTAATGGTAGGTGTATTTGAACAGTGAGATACAGAATAACAACAAAACAATCCAGAAAAACACATGTCAAAAATGTTATAAATTTATTTGCATTTTAATGAGGGAAATAAGTATTTGACCCCCTCTCAATCAGAAAGATTTCTGGCTCCCAGGTGTCTTTTATACAGGTAATGAGCTGAGATTAGGAGCACACTCTTAAAGGGAGTGCTCCTAATCTCAGCTTGTTACCTGTATAAAAGACACCTGTCCACAGAAGCAATCAATCAATCAGATTCCAAACTCTCCACCATGGCCAAGACCAAAGAGCTCTCCAAGGATGTCAGGGACAAGATTGTAGACCTACACAAGGCTGGAATGGGCTACAAGACCATTGCCAAGCAGCTTGGTGAGAAGGTGACAACAGTTGGTGCGATTATTCGCAAATGGAAGAAACACAAAAGAACTGTCAATCTCCCTTAGCCTGGGGCTCCATGCAAGATCTCACCTCGTGGAGTTGCAATGATCATGAGAACGGTGAGGAATCAGCCCAGAACTACACGGGAGGATCTTGTCAATGATCTCAAGGCAGCTAGGACCATAGTCACCAAGAAAACAATTGGTAACACACTACACCGTGAAGGACTGAAATCCTGCAGCACCCGCAAGGTCCCCCTGCTCAAGAAAGCACATATACATGCCCGTCTGAAGTTTGCCAATGAACATCTGAATGATTCAGGGGACAACTGGGTGAAAGTGTTGTGGTCAGATGAGACCAAAATGGAGCTCTTTGGCATCAACTCAACTCGCCGTGTTTGGAGGAGGAGGAATGCTGCCTATGGCCCCAAGAACACCATCCCCACCGTCAAACATGGAGGTGGAAACATTATGCTTTGGGGGTGTTTTTCTGCTAAGGCGACAGGACAACTTCACCACATCAAAGGGACGATGGACGGGGCCATGTACCGTCAAATCTTGGGTAAGAACCTCCTTCCCTCAGCCAGGGCATTGAAAATGGGTCGTGGATGGGTATTCCAGCATGACAATGACCCAAAACACACGGCCAAGGCAACAAAGGAGTGGCTCAAGAAGAAGCACATTAAGGTCCTGGAGTGGCCTAGCCAGTCTCCAGACCTTAATCCCATAGAAAATCTGTAGAGGGAGCTGAAGGTTCGAGTTGCCAAACGTCAGCCTCGAAACCTTAATGACTTGGAGAAGATCTGCAAAGAGGAGTGGGACAAAATCCCTCATGAGATGTGTGCAAACCTGGTGGCCAACTACAAGAAACGTCTGACCTCTGTGATTGCCAACAAGGGTTTTACCACCAAGTACTAAGTCATGTTTTGCAGAGGAGTCAAATACTTATTTCCCTCATTAAAATGCCAATCACTGTTCATATAAAGCTACCATTAAAATTATAGACTGATCATTTCTTTGTCAGTGGGCAAACGTACAAAATCAGCAGGGGATCAAATACCTTTTTCCCTCACTGTACATCTTCGCAGTTATTATAGGGAAGCCAATATATTTTGTATTATTTATTTATGAATTACAGTTTTCAATAAATCTGACCATGCCTATTCTTAGAATGGCTTCTTGCCTAAGAGCCTGAAAAATGTTGCCTATTGGAAACCTATTTCCTGTTATCACTTGCAGGTACAAACTCGTTTTCCAGCCAGTGAGAGTATCGTACGACTTAATATATATGGCTCTCATCCACGTATGAGTCACCAATCTAACCTGTCACTGGATTACAGGCGTACATTGATCACCACCACTACACCGAAAACTTTACTAACAACGTGTGTTTTCATTATTGCACGCTTTTATTTAACTCACTGTCTGTTGTCGTATCCTCAAATCTTGTAACTCAATTTTAACCCACTTCCCAATGTGGTATCGACTGCAAACTTGGTATACTTATGTCATACTGATAACAATACCATATTCTATAAAATAAAAAAATATATATTTGTAAACATTTTTTTTATGTTATGTTTCGGTTTGGGTCTAATTGTCCACGCTCAACTCACATTGGCTGTTATTGCCCACGGTCCATTACGTTATGGCAAGCTTCGGGGCCACTTCCTGGAGTCGTGGAGTTTTTCCATTACTAGTACGGTACATTTCATTAAACCGTGTTTTTAAAAATGTATTTTTTATATTACTTATTGCATTCTGATTCACAGCATATGTTGTTTTACATCCTCGGGGCAAGATGATACCAACGCAGTGACTCAGTACACTCCCTCGACTTCACACACCTTTTGATTTGTGTGTTTGCGGCGAGCAGCGGTGTCGTGATTTGCTCTGTAATTCCAAAGACATGAGGATTATATTTTAAACAGTTGCTGAGCGCAGGCCCAAAGGTCATGTCAATTGGTCAGTAATGAAGAACATGATCAAAGTTTTTGAATTGAGAAAGGTTATTATAGGCGTTTTTGCATTACATTTAAAAGTTTCTGCAATTCCTCGTGTGATTTTAGCAAACTGAACAGCTCAATAAACAACCGAACAAATATGCATCCTAAACATGCAGATAGAATACGCGTATTAATTTTGGGCATATAAATGTGGAGGACACTACATTTAATTTGGGATTGTGGTATATAACTTGGGAGGTTTGGAAGAGAATGTGGCAAAATAGCAGTAGTTTCATAAGGAATAGGAGGTTGCAGCTTGTGATTTGTATGGCATGTGTACGGGATACATGAAGGCAGGCTACTGAGACAGGTATTTGAGTGTCACCCAGATGTTGGGATATTGCGAGAGCAAGATTTATGAGATCAGGTGTCGCGTCTGTAAAACAGCCGTAGAATCTGGCAGGGGAAAGTGATTGTGGTGTATATGTTGGCATTGATGAAAACATTAACATGACGCTACTCAGACATACGCACATATTATGTATTTTTACATTTTTAGGGTGGCAAAGCCAATAGTTCTGAAACGTGTTTATAGTTGAATTCTGTATACAGGGTGCTTCAAAACAATGTTAATATTCACATGGGACTATCGTTTTTAATGGAAAAATAACGGATAACACACTGTAACATGACAACAAATGTAATGTTAATAGCTTCAAAAGGTCAAAGAGTCTCCCACTTGTTCGTCATCATTGTCAACACGTGGCCTGGAATATTCTCCAGGTGGTCTCCAGAGCCTGGAGGCAGCAGCACATGTCACGTGGTATTGTTGCAAATTCTCTGAAGTGTTAACATTGCTTTGAGGCACCCGGTATTTTTTCAAACAAACCAAGGAAGCAGTAGACGCTGTTTGGATCTCAGCGGCACCGCCAGTATATTGCATGGATAGCGAGTTCTTTGGAGATGGCTTTTTTATGGTTCGGATTTCACCACAGTTGCAGTACAGCGATTCTTTTTTTTTCTTCCATTTGTGGAAGGTACACGTACGTGCGTCTCCCATGTTACTTTCGAGCACCTCTTAGCGAGGTTCACAAGTTGTCGTGGAAGAGAGAATTCCGTTACTTCCACTGTCGGGTCCTCAATGAGGTGTTTGTTTGCCACATCCATAGCCGCTCACGATTCCGTCCAGAGAGTGTCGATGTTATTGTTTGGCATCAATATTTGCTAGGGCGGAGGCGCGCATCCAGAATGGTTTCTTGGATTTCAGCCTGGGTGGTGGTGTGGCCCAATCAGTTTCAAGGACAATGCATAATATCATCAAAGCATATTTGTTTTCATGCTTTACCACAGGAATGTGTAGTTAATGCAGACTTGATACTAATAATAATAATTACATTTATATAGCCATTTTTTAAAATCAAGGATCTCAAAGTGCTGTACAGGACACAGCAGCAAGCAGACAATCAGCATAAAATAATATTATAAATACATTTTAAGAACCATTTACTAAATGAAGTAAAAGTTTAATAAGCGGAAACGTATAAATAGGTTTTATGGCGCATGTTAAAAATGCCCACAGACTCAGAGATCCCTGATATCCCTGATTTCTCGCGAAAGAGCATTCCATTCATAGCCTGGTGGCTCTGTCACCCATAGACCGAAACCTCGACCTGGGAATGCAGAGAAGATCTGCACCTCCAGATCTTAGGGGACCTTAAGGGGGACAAATGGGTGCAGCATGTCAATGATGTAGGCTGGGGCAAGATGGTTCACCGCTTTATAAAGTTAACAATAGGTGTCCATTTGGTGTTTGACCATCTTAACAATTGTATTATTGCCAAAAAGGGTAAATATATATTTTTTTATTTTTCATCATCATGATACTGGCAAAAAGAGTCCCACATCCATACGCACACAACGCCCAGAATAAAATACAATCAGGGCAGCAAGAGACAAAGATCCTCCGTGTTAGCCTTAACATACTGTTGGGGCAAGTGCTGTTAGCGAGCACCTATGAAGACCGGTAACGGCACACGACGGAGGCGGTGGAGTGTGCCAGCAACCACGCCCGACCGCCTTTGTCTCCCCCAGTGGCGACGTTCACGCACCGCGCACCGGGCTACTCATTTGAGGCCGAGCCCGACCTATGGGGGGGGAGGCCCCAGGACCGGTGTCAAGACAATCGTCACCGGTGTTGGTGGCCGTGAACGGGAATCGAACTCGTGGAAGTCGCACGACCTTCGCAGCGCAACGCAACGCGCTCACACCACCCCCACCCACGCGTTACACGTGGCGCCAGCAGCAACCACCACCATCACCACCACCACCACACCCCACACATTGGGGAAGCTGAACACTCCGAGCGGTGCGAGTGGGCGACTCCCGCCGTCGTTGCTTCCGCGGATTTCTAGAGGCGGCGTGAGAGCAACCAAATCACATCGCCACTCTCGCTCGCACAAACACAAGAAGCTCGCCGACGAAGGGGACGCGATGGGGCAACTGTGCAGCGCCGACTGCGGCGCCGAATTTTGGGTGAGATTACAGAACGATGCATTCATTCATTTAGTCGATCGTGCATTGTTTTCGTTCGGTCGCGTAAGCTAGCTTCCACGTCCATTGATCGACTTGTTTACATACACCGCATCACACGGAGCTCGTCAGATGTCGCAATGCTGTGGTAGTGGTGGGGGTTAATTATTAAGGCTGGGATGGGTGACCAGCGCAACGCATTAAAACAGGTGTGGTTGTTGGACTAATATGCTGCTGCTGCTGCTTCTGCAAGGGTTACTTTGTGGGGCAGCAGAGACCACGCTACAATAAAAATCCATTGGCTGTGCTATGATGTACACGTTACTCCACGTCTTTACCAGCCTACACTGATCATCGTGGTTAAGTGCGCCGCGGTGGCGAGATGTTTACTACCTCGCCTGGTATGCAGGAGATCGTGGTTTCGAATCCGACCCTGGTGTCTGCATATTTGGAGTTTGCGTCTCTCTCCCCCGTGGTCGCGTGGGGTTTTTTAAATTTATTATCAGGGTTCTCCGGTTTTTTTACATCCACATTTAGAATTAATATGCGTTCAGAGTATTTGGCTACGATATACTTGCACACGATGATAAGCCACTTTGTTGAGATATCATTTGTGGCCAGGTCGCGTCTGAATTAGAGCCAAAAAGCTCGATGGGTCTTATCTGGTGAAATCAATAATTGAGTTTAAGTATCGTCATATAACGACGCCACAGAGCACGAGGAAGCATTAATTTAGCCTGTTGACTCAAGTACTAATTTGGCCAATTATTGAATTGACTTTTTTATGCATTTCATACCTTTAGTCATGCACAAGTTATTGGTTTTGGCCCATGTACCGAAACGCTCTTATTGTATGTTAAACTTCTCTCGCACAGTATGTAACCAACCGTGCTAAGCGTTAATGTATTGCTTGTGCAGTCATTCACAGTTTATGTTAATTATCTTAGTCCCATTAATGCAAGTTCCCATTCACGTATTGTTTTATCCACATTTTCATCATCACTGCTGGATTAAGGCCTCCCCAAATCACGACTCACGGTTCTCGCGATGCAACAATCCATACAGTTATTGCACACGAGCTGATTTCATTACTCCATCTCCGCGGCGGTCGTGGGCCCTTTCATGTCATCTCATTTGGCTGCCACTCCATCGTTTATCTCCACCACTGGCCATCATACCTACTTGCAATGTTGCTCCTGCCCAATCCCACAGTCAATATGACGTCTCTAACTTGGATAGATATCCTGATCCATGTGTCACTCTGTTACAATGTAAATTCTAAGCATGCATCTCTCCATTCGTCGTTGTGCACTTCAACTTTCTCATCCGCATATCATAACGTTCTTCAGGCAAATTGGTATGCTAATACTGTATTCATGATCAAGTTCAGCATTCCACAACAACTTGTTCTTGGCCTCGTTTAACTTTCATGATTTCCGTCTGGATTTTCAACAGCTCTCTTAGGTTCGCACGTACTCTGCTGTGTTTTTTCCCGAGGATTTACATTGGCTCATGTCTATGGCCACTAATGGGGGTAAAAAAATTACACAAAAGTTCAGGAATTGGGTTGGCAGTGGATCACGGGCACAACTGAAAAAACATTGCATGAATACTGCCTTACAATAAGGAAAAATAGGTAAAAAACACGTTTTTTAATGCACACACTTTTCACACAAAAGTCGAAAATAAAAATGTTTACCCCAGAATTTATGAAATTTCATGTGCTGAATACAAGTGGGTGGCTTGCATAACGTATTCTGACGTTTCATTCGTGTATATGCTCTTCTTCAGAGCAGAGAGGTGAGTGCATCCTAATGTTTGTTTGAGCAGCCAGATAGTTTTACTTTGACTTGAGTGTGTGCATCATTGTTGTTGTCAATTCAGGATAATGGGCCTTTATATATATATTTTTATTATTATTGCCGGTATAATAATGCATACTGTATCACTTTGGAAAGTGAATAGCGCTTGTACATCGCTGAGTGTCTGGCCCACTGCCGTATTAATGTGAACATTCACCGTTGACTTCGGACCATCATTGATATTGAGCACTAACCAGCACTCACCTTAGCTGACAGGCAATTGCAAATTTTAAGTTATTAGGGGACAATTACAGGACTTTTTAAAATAAGAATAACGCCTGCGTCACACTGACCTGCATAGGTGTTCACTAACAGGACTCCAAACTGTTTTAAGCAGGCTATAAACATCTTATCTTCATTAAAGTTGCTATTAATAATTGCAGTGCCTGTGTTTGAACCAAACCAGGCCCTCCCATCGATTCCATTGTTCCAACAAAATGTCGGGGTTATTTTTGCAATTTGAAAATATTTACATTTGGCCTCTTTTCACGACTCAACCTCATTGTGCCACTGGTGTCAGTTGATACATTTTTAGGAACCCCTACTGACAGCATCCTGACATGACATCCTGGTATACAGTGATCCTGGCAGGGAACAGGCTGGAATTAAACTGCAGGGCTGATCCCATTGTCTAAAATATCACAGTGAAATGGCTCTCATCTGCACTAATACGGGGCGCACTATGAGTACATTCTATTATCTCTGTTTATTCACGCATATTCCAAACAAATCCTTCTGTGTCAATTCAGTTTGGTCAAATCTTTAGGTAATCTCCATATATATAAAAGGTAAAGTTGTGAATGTGTGTGTGTTCAAAATGTTTAGTGTACTTCCCGACATGCAACAAATTGCACATTTGCCATGTGGGTACTTTCCAGACTGTACACCATGCTAAAATTATAAAAATAAACTTTTTTTGGGGGGGGGAGCTCAATAATGCATTTATTTTTTGCACGGCAAATGAGCTGTGACGTCAAATCTGTCACGTGACCCGCGCATGTGGCAGTGTAACGCATAGTAGTGTAGTGGTTAGCGCGCCGCGCTACGAACCCGGCGACCCGAGTTCGATTCCCGCTCACGGCCACCACCGGTGACGATTATTTGAACCGGTCCTGGGCCTCCCCTAGGTCGACTCAGCCTTAAACTAGCAACTGTTGTGGTGTGTGAACATCGCCACTGGGGAGAGAAAGGCGTGGTGATTCCAAGTCCCGGGCGAAGCCGGGTAGTAAAGCTAGTCATTAATAAAGGACGAATTTGCTGCAAAAATGCATATAGGATTAATTTGCCATACTTTTGGGTTAATCCTCTTTATCTTTGCTTAAATGTGCATAATAGGATAAAGGACATGTATCTGGAAACATTTTCTGGGTGAATTCAAGCACGATCGAATCCGCGGATAATATGATTAATATGATGCCACTTACGAATTGCTCCACATGTATTAGAAATAATGCGCTTGTTGATAATAGGAATATTCTTAAATCTAAACACTACGAGGGTTGAGTAGCACTCGAATGATACTTTAAGACTTGACCAGTCCACCACAAGACAATGCTAGGCCGTTTACTGATGCTCAGGAAATATGAATTGTATTTAGGGCACGATAGAGGTTATTATGCACAGTGTACTGCTGGCTCTTATAATATCTGTTATCTGTGTATTCTTTTAAAATATCTTAAAGATAGCTTCATTACTGCTGTACCATATATTACATCTGTGCTTGAGTTCTTAAAGTGCAGCGTTTGTGTAAAGCCATGGTGTACATTAGGTAACGTTCCATTACAATAATGACTCCCTCAACGACTCCTTCTGATGTATAATGCATTTCAACGGGTTGGTATTTCATCTCCTGGTTGAATAAATATACCATAACTCTACTACTACTACAGATTGTATGTAATTAGGTGACAACACTGGAAAATACACTTGTAGACCCACTGGTTGCTCTTGATTTAACTTTTCTCATCACAGTGACAAGATAACACTCCTTACCATGTATATGCAGTAGTGAAAATGGGCTGGTATACGACAATACGCAATACCGACACTTTTCTGTTCCTATTATACTGTACCACAATTTTTCACAGAGGGGAAAATACTAATCATGGGCTCCAAGATTAATAAATAGGTTTCATATTGAGACTTAAAAACATGCATTTTGACCGCTGTGTATATGAATGGTGAATTACTGTCTAAATAATAATGATCATATTCAGCCCATTGTTAATTGACTACTGGATGACATTGTCACAGTTATGGGAGTGCTTGACCATACTTCACTATGCTGGTCAGTGTAGGTTGGTAATGGTGGACCCAACACCAGTTCAGATATCACTTTTCCACTGATATATAGTTGTGGCCAGGAGTCTAGCTCAGGTTGCAAGGCTAACAACGAGTGCACTCACCACTGTGCCCATGGTTCTACACCCCCCGCCCCACCTCTTATCTATTTAACATCATAGATCGCGTAAATATATCAATGTGTCGTTAAATCCGCCACCACCCGACACAGTAAAGGTTGTCGCGAAACAGAACATGCCAATTCGTGACTAGTACAGCACACCGGTGTGTTGGAGAGCCAAGCCAAAAACATTTACAATTTGAGTACGACGTCACGACAGTAATTACAACTAACTACTCGGATCGTAAATGTTGTGGCTTGGCTCTCCAAAACACCGGTGTGCTGTACTAGTGACGAATTGGCATCTTCTGTTTACGTGACAACAAGCAGCTCAGGGCTATCAGTGGAGATGAGCTCCACCACACACCACATTGCGTGTTTGAGCAGGGAGACACGTCGACTTGACTGAAATAGTAACGTGAGAAAACATGCGAATGTTACTTCAAGCGAGGATCCAGGAATGTAACTCTGACTCACTGAAGTGCTGAACGAGGCATCAGCCTCATATTTGGCCACTCCTTTAAAACACAGGGGATCAAATGACAAAAAAAAACAATATTCACCCGATAAGCAGCACTGCGTGTAACAAAAGCCAGGTCCTCTGACGCATTCAGGAAATGTTGAAAGTTTGCTGCTTGGCTCAGATGTTACAAAAGCATGCATGAGTGTGTTACTTTGACTGTAGTGGGGAGATATTTTACTGCATAGATTGTGCATAGGCATTCACCAAAACCCCAAAC